CTAATTAGTATTATATAAAGTATATGTTAGAAATTTTGAATTTTAATTTTTGGGTATTGTTCAGTTTTATAGGTACATAATTTTATATTTAAGGATAATACATAAAAAAAACTTGAATAACTTTTTTTTTATAATTATTTAAGTAACTTAATATTTATAGGAATTTAGTTTAAGTTACTTAAACAATCTACTAAACGAAGTACCTCACTTAGAACTAGTTAGAAGTAACTTCTTAATTCGTAACTAGTTAGTGCCCGCTGCCCAGCATGGCAATATTGTACACTTGTACAGTTGTACTACAGTAATATTAGCTAATAGCTATATACAACTATACAAGTCCGTAAAAGTATTAAATAACACAATATTAATAAATAAAAATAATATATGTATTACTATTACTTTAATGTCAATTTATTCTGCGATTTTAACAAGACAATATCATTAWTTTTATGCTTTGTTTATCATGTGTTTATCTAATTCTTGAAGGTTGCCGTACTGCCGACTTTTATAATATTGTGATAACGTGTTTGATAAGAAAAAAATTTACGAACATAAAAATAATTTTGCAATTACGACAACGATTGAACAGTCGAAATTTTTTCATTCGTTTAAGTAATAAGTACTGAATATTGTCTAKTGACAAAATGGCGAATTGGAATTCTTTAATACCATCCCAATTCAAGCCATCCGGTTTCATTTCGGCTCTGCGAACATTCTTAGGTGGAGTAAGTATCATACTCGTACAGCCGTACTCAATAGATACTATATTAATGCAAACAAATWCTTAAAGACAATGAAAAAAATCGTTGTAATGCATATGTATTGATCTCATAAATTCAGTAGTTTCCATGTCAATTTTGTTGATTCAGTTTTAAACATATTTCAATAATTTAATCAAATATTAAATTACAAAGCTACACACTCATGCTTGCTACAAACCATCAATTAATTATAAAATCATATTATGTGATGATGATGATGATGATTACTTAACTAATTAAATCTAATGTTTGAATCTGCTCTAAAAGATATCCGACAAAATGTATTGGATGTACTATACGGTACCTATTATTTCGCTAAGTATTTGTGGATCATAATATTAACCTATTTATGTTATTACATTATAGATAATAGTAGCAACTTTTAAAATATAATTTTTAATTTATCCCTTATGTCACGTTTTGTTTTATGTATAATTAAAATAAATATTTTTATTCATAATAAATGTTATTATTATTTAAGCTCAACACAAAAGTTGTTTTTACGTAAATTTCCTTAATTAAAATTTATCATTACATATTTTATGTATTAAAACTATTTTATTACTTTAATATAAGGTATTGTAAAATAGGTACAAAGTGTATTAAATTTAGTTGAAATATAATTTTAGATTATTTAAACTAAATTTTATTATAAAATAGTAGTTATTAGAACAAATAATTTTATTATAAGTTATACTAATTTATTTACCTTTTTTTAGAGAAATTTCAAGCCTAACATAAGAATGACTGATGAAGTATCATCGGCCACTCAACCTCCACCTGATGTTCCAGGAGGACCTAACCACACAGTTTTTAATAATTATTATTATACACGTGAYAGCCGTAGAGAAGTTACACAACCAGTACTAGTTTTTGAAAATAGTTCAAAACTTATTGAAAATTCAAAGTAATTATTTATATTTTAAATTAAATAGAATAATAGTGTATTTATGTTATGGGAAATTTGGTCTGACTAGTCAACATAGCAGCGTATACAAAAATATTTCCATTGATTTTTCAATGATATATAATTTCTTTTTTTATGTATGTATAGTAGAAGAAATATTTTGACTTTCAACTTCAATATCTTTTCTAGTAAGAATGTGAATCCAATTGCTACTTTTGAGAGGACAAAATAAAAATAAAAATTAGAATTTTAATGTAAAATTGGTTTTTGACTAAATGAATTTTATTATTCAAAATCAAATAACTATAGATAGTTTAAATGTTTACAACATGTTTGAATTAACATTATCTCATGCAATATAATAGCTATGCGACTTTTTCACTTTTTAGTTTGTTTTTCAGTAATTTTCAATAAAATACTTGAAAATTAAGGTTTCTCATAATTAGTTTTATGATTAGCTATTACTGTACTTAAAAAAAATTTCATCCACAGTAATTATTATAAGTGTTTAAAGTTCAAAAATATGCCAATTATTTTGTAGT